TGCATTGATGATTGCTGCCTCTCTCCCGCCTCATTTTTGGGCTGAGGCCGTCTCCACATCCACCTATCTTATCAATATACAGCCTTCCGTTGCTCTACAGGGTGCTGTTCCTTTCGAGCGACTTTTTGATCGTTCTCCCGATTATTCGATGCTTCGCTTGTTTGGTTGTGTTTGCTATGTTCTTCTTGCCCCTCGCGAACGCACCAAACTGACTGCTCAGTCTGTTGAGTGCGTTTTCTTAGGCTACAGTGATGAGCATAAGGGCTATCGTTGTTGGGATCCTATTGGTCGTCGGATGCGTATCTCTCGAGATGTGACTTTTGACGAGTCTCGTCCTTTCTACCCACGCCCATCTTCCTCGACTTTTTCAGTGCAGGATATCTCTTTCCTCACTTTTCCTGACACACCTATCACCCTCGCCGACACTGTACCTCTCCGTTCCACTTCCTCTCCTTCTCCACATCTCGTTGACTTGCAGTCACCTTCCTCCCCGGTCTCCTCGTCTAGCTTGTCACCGGGTTCTCCACCTTCATCTCCGGTGACTTCCTCTCCCAGTTTGTCACCGGATTCTACACCTTCGTCTCCGGTGACTTCTTCGTCGTCACCCCCTGATTCTACCTTGCCGATTCCTCCTTCTATTATTCCATCTCTTCCTCAACATTACACTCGTCGTCCACGACCAGTTGATGCCTCCGTGGATGGGTCGTCATCTTTCTCTCAGCCTACTTATGGTTTGCGTTCTCGTCCTCGTCCGCCTGTTGATCGCTTTGGATTTCCCACTGCTGGTGCTGCTGTTCTTGAGCCGACTTCTTACCGTCAGGCTGTTGTTCATCCTGAATGGCAGTTTGCGATGGCAGAGGAGATTGCTGCTCTTGAACGCACTGGTACTTGGGATCTTGTTTCTCTTCCTCCCGGAGTCCGTCCGATCACTTGTAAGTGGGTCTACAAGGTTAAGACTCGCTCCGATGGTTCTCTTGAGCGTCACAAAGCTCGTCTTGTGGCTCGTGGTTTTCAGCAGGAGCATGGTCGTGATTATGACGAGACTTTTGCTCCTGTGGCTCATATGACCACTGTTCGTACCCTTCTTGCCGTTGCCTCTGCACGCCACTGGTCTATATCTCAGCTTGATGTTAAGAATGCCTTTCTTAATGGTGAGTTGCGTGAGGAGGTGTACATGCAGCCACCACCTGGGTATTCTGTTCCTGATGGCATGGTATGTCGTCTTCGTCGCTCTCTCTATGGCCTTAAGCAAGCCCCCCGCGCCTGGTTTGAGCGCTTTGCCTCTGTGATCACTGCTGCTGGTTTTTTAGCAAGTGCTCATGATCCCGCATTGTTTATTCACCTTTCTCCTCGTGGTCGGACTCTTCTTCTTCTTTATGTTGATGACATGATCATCACGGGGGATGATCCCGAGTATATTGCCTTTGTAAAGGCCCGTCTTAGTGAGCAGTTTCTTATGTCTGATCTTGGACCTCTTCGCTACTTTCTTGGGATTGAAGTCTCTTCTACCTCTGATGGCTTTTTTATATCCCAGGAAAAGTATATCCAGGATCTTCTTGCTCGTGCTGCTCTTACTGACGAGCGCATTGTTGAGACTCCTATGGAGCTCAATGTTCACCTTCGTGCTACTGATGGTGATCCTCTCCCTGATCCGACGCGTTATCGTCATCTTGTTGGCAGTCTTGTCTATTTAGCTGTCACTCGTCCGGACATCTCTTATCCGGTTCATATTCTGAGTCAGTTTGTCTCTGCCCCCACCTTGGTTCACTATAGTCATCTCCTTCGTATTCTTCGATATCTTCGAGGCACGATCTCTCACCGTCTATTCTTTCCTCGCTCCAGTTTTTTACAGCTCCAGGCCTATTCTGATGCTACGTGGGCTAGTGATCCTTCCGATCGCCGTTCACTTTCTGCTTACTGTGTTTTTCTTGGTGGTTCTCTCATTGCCTGGAAGACGAAGAAACAGCTTGCAGTTTCCCGTTCGAGTGCCGAGGCTGAGTTGCGAGCAATGGCTCTTTTGACGGCAGAGGTGACTTGGTTACGGTGGTTACTTCAGGATTTTGGTGTTTCTGTCACTACACCGACTCTGCTTCTATCTGACAGTACAGGTGCTATCAGCATTGCACGCGATCCTGTGAAGCATGAGCTCACCAAGCATATTGGTGTTGATGCTTTCTATGTGCGCGCTGCTGTGCAGGATGAGGTTATTGCTCTTCAGTATGTGCCTTCCGAGTTACAGTTGGCGGATTTTCTGACAAAGGCACAGACTAGAGCACAACATGGCTTTTATCTCTCCAAACTCAGTGTTGTTCATCCACCATGAGTTTGAGGGGGGGTGTTAGAGTTATAATATAAGTCATATACCCCTTTATATTTATCTCATTGTATGAGGGGTTTCCTGCATATGTTCCACACCTGTACATGTATATATATATCGGCATATGGCCTCATGGGAATACAAGTTGCTTATTCCTAACACCTTTCAGCTACATGCATGCCACATATAGGATAACCAGCATGCTTGGGCCAGAGATGGCCAATACAGTAGCATGGCATGTCTGGCATCGAGAAGGATTTGCTGGCCGGTGTGAGAGATGGCATATCATAACTCGCAAAAGATGACCACGGTTTAGCCAAATTGCTGAAACTGTACACAGGCAGTGCAAAACTAATTTTGATAGGTGATGTATTTCCCCTTCTATTTACGACTTTTTCGCTGTAACGGGGTGGGCAGTGGAGTACAATGTACAGTGCAAGACCAACTAACAGAAGAACAGAAACAAATCAAGGGGACCAAACAACTCGTGAAATACACCTAATATTACACGCTGTTGCTAACCAACAAGGCAGTGCGCACTTTACAAAACTCTGGCAAAACCATAGCCACAACAACATGGATTACATATTATGAGGCTTAGAAAGATTACCCATGGAGTTTCAGTCTACAGTCAGGATTCGCCCAAGAGCATTTGAGCTCAAGCTCAACACTGACTAGAACTATTGGTTCAAGATGAAGATCTAGACATCAACTGTTAAGTTGTTTCAACACCCAAAATCAGGAGAAGATGCATGTACACGAGAATGTGGTCTCAACTTTTAGTGTCCCCCTATATAGATTTTTTCTGTGCCATTTGCTATAGCCTTGTTGCTCAATACAATTGTAGTGTAAGCAAATCACAATGTCATTGGAGATTTCATTTTGCAAACTGAATTAACATGTTCTTACTGCTGATGTGTGAAGACATTGTTTAAGAATTGTTACTTGACACAGAAATATATAGTACATACCAGAATTTTGAATCCATCCCTGGATTGCTGAAGTCAGAAAAGGACAGGGCTCGCTTCACAGTAGATTGCTTGGATAATGTCATACACAACGTTCTGAGGAATATTCACCACAATGGTCTTTTTTGAAGAAAAAAGCAGAACAAGTAGATCAGCATAAGAAACAATCAATGCAAGTCTGAAATATGCAGTCTGTGTTCAAGCTTGGGACAGCATGTCAAACACCAAGTCTAGAAGTAATGAGCGAGGGGAATATAATATGTACACCTAAGCATCAAGATAGAAACCAACCATAGCTCTAATTCTGAAATAATTATCAGAATCACTTAAGGGCTTGATGTCCAGGACTAAAACAGGAAATTGTTCTTTATATTGGGTTACTAACCGGATTTCACTAACTCACTCTGTATAATCAGTTAATCACTTAAACCCACTATAACCTATCTACATCTCAGCATCCTCCGAAAGAGTACCCTCATCCAAGACATCATCTGGCTCATCACTTTTGAGATTCAATATAGCATCATCATCATCATCATCACCAGTCCACCACAATCCACAAGCACCAAACAAATAGTCTGCTGAACCAGCCGATCCATAACATTTTGTACTATTCTTCCTATGTCCTTTCTAATCAGTAAGTTAATGGCCTTCTCCTTCCACCGCAACAGCAACACCTTTTTCTAATAAAATCTGTCCCATAATATGCCTCGTCAAGAACATGCTTAGGGGCTTGCCTTGTCTGAGACACATAAGAGATACCAATGTACCATTACCAACAATTAGAAATGCAATTAATAAATGCCCCTTCTGTAAATTTAAGGAGGTATAAGGGCACAACGAGTTGCCCTTTTTGGCAGAGGGGAAAGTAAGAAAAGTATTATGCTCAGCTGTAGCAGAAAAGAACTGTATGTGAATATTTTGCAAGCGTGGATAAAGTAGAAATGTAGAAAAATAAGAAATACAAGTGCAATTTTAGACTTAGCATTAGTGTCTGCCAACCAGTAAAAGTGAAAAACTACACTAATCAGCACGGAATTATCACTCGATGCAGGCAGTTTTACAGCAATACGACATGGCTAACCTTACGTCTGTTATGATAAGTCTGGTTGAGATCAAATTATCATAGATGCGAATGTGCATTAAAACACATGGTTCCTACTCAGGTTCCACCGCTAGTAGATGAACGATCACAAACGGTGCAGAACAAACATTCCAGCCCAAATACGTCAATACTGATACATGAGCTGAAAAAACATGACTGGTCAACTAAAGGACTAAGAGCAGGCACTCCTACAAGCACCGTCATTCTAAAGAGTAAGCCCCAGATATCCAGAGAGTGAACATGCATGGTAGGCAGGACTGGAATAGAGGGATCTATCGGTGGAAAGCAAGGCCACTCCCTTGCAGAGTCTTTGTTTTCATATCAATGCCAATCATCCATGCTTGCCAATATTCAAAGTCAACCTTCGACACCAGGTAGTAAACAACAGCATCACCATGGTTGCTCAAGACAGGGGGTAGATGTTATGAGATCCTGCAGCGTTGTCTTTCCAGGATGTCCAGCCATGTTTGGATCATTGACCACAATATCATCAACATCAGCAAACAAATCCCTAAACAAGCTCGCATATGAAACCTTCCTGCTCGCTTGTGAGCTTAATGTTCAGGAAACGGAAAAACAGAAGTGTTCACTATGTTAGGCTAGTAGGCTGCTAACTGGATTTCACTGACTCTGCATAATCACTTACATCTCCTAAAACCATCTCAACATGTTTCTCACTAGAAAAACCCATCCCAGCATCATCCATCTGACCATCATCGATGTCACCATCATCCATCTCACCATCATCTGTAAGAGTGCCATCATCCAAGAAATCATCTGAATCTTCACTTTCAACATGCAATATAGTATCAGCATCATCGTCATCACTGCTACCACCGCCACATGTTGATGAGCTCGCACCGAACAAACAGTGCTCAGAATCAGACGACTCATGAACTTTTCCAATATTCTTGTTTTTTCCTCTGTAACCAGTAAGTCGAAGGACCTTCTCTCTCCACCTTACCAACGGAGCCTTTTTTATCAACTCTGTCCCATCATATGCCTCTGTCAAGAACACGCTCAGCCGCTTCCCCCTCTCAGACACATAAAAGATACCATAATGCTTCAGTAGCAACCTCATCAGCTTCTGTGGCATAACAAACTCACGGCGGAAATGCGTCAGGTGGTCAGTTACCAGCCTCTTCTCCAATGTGAAGCTCAGTATCTCGTGCATCACCGCGACTGCCCTCTTGTCAAACTCATGAGATCCAGGGGTCAAACCTTTTGCCTCTGCATAAGGGGACAGGTAGGTTGTCTTCTGAAACTGCTCGGTATTGCCGGTTTTCACATAGTGATGAGCTTTTCCTCTAAATTTGTAGTAACTTTTAAAATCTGGTGGGAACTTCATCTGGAATGGAAGTGAGAGCTCTCCTGGTGTAGTAGCATTGGAATTGGCATCGGCGTTACCAGCCAATGCTGCCATATTCTTCTCATGCTCAGTGACCGCCCAGTTTGGGTTCCAGGAAACAAGCTCCAAGTAGTCGCCATCCTCCAGTGTGACCAACCTGAAGAGCTCAGGGAACAAGTGCACCCACCGTGCCCGGAAATCATGAGGAAGCCCCATGTCACGCCGGAAATGCGCGATCTTGTCAACGGGCAGGCGCCGTTGCACCGACATCATGAGCAGCCTGGTCACGTACTCCGCAGCCGTGGGGGAGTGCTCCTGCAGCAGGCGCGCCTCCTCCTCGACGAGCGCCTCGGCCTGCGGCGAGAGGCCGGCCCACATGACGCCGCGGCTGTCGCGGCAGACCTCGAAGAGCTGCGGCGAGCTGTGCACGAAGTGGGCGACCTTGTGCGGCTTGGCGAGCCCGAGCTGCGGGCGCAGGATCTCGAGGCGCTTGAGAGGGGTGACGTGCTCCTCCTCCATCTTGAGCGCGTCCACCACGGCGAGCACCTTGGAGACCACCTTGCAGCGCTCGATGACCACCTCGAGGTCGTTCACGCGCTTCTTCTTGCTCCGCTCGTTCACGCTCCGGCCGCGCGTCATGGAGCGCGCGGGAGATAGCTGGGAGGGGCAGCGCGGTTGGCCCTGCGCCTGGACCTGGCCAAGGCGGCCGAGCAGCTCGGCCAGGCATTTGCGCGAACACGTGGCGCGCATGGCGTGCGGTGCCGACGGAAAAGAATCGGAGAGGGGTAAAACGATGGTATGAGTTCACCCGGAGGAGGATTGGGTCGAGGTCCCAAGCTAATGCGCTGCTGATCGGCGGCGAGAGGGGGAGGTGGCGGAGGAGGCTGGAGGGCCGGAGAGGAACGGAGAACGCCGCACGGCGCCGAGAGCTCCAGGGCGAGAGAGTGACGGGGTAGGGCAAAGATAAAGGCCCAGAACGGACTGCACCGGCCCATATGAACTCAGCTGGACAGCCCAATAAAAAACTTTTTAGCCGGCCCAGTGCCAAAACATCCCATCGCTTAGCCGCCGCGTGCCGGTGACTCGACTGTACCAGGACCCCGCCGTGTGCTCTCCCCGTCGCATAGCCGCCGCGTGCCGGAAAGTGATGTTCTGAGTACGAGCTCAGATACTCTCGCTATCTCCATCGTGAACTCACTTTGAGATTCCCGACCTGGGCTGTCCCCTTGCCCACTTCTGTCAGATAATAAATGTGACGCCGTCCACGCCGTGTCGACCGGCTCGGATGTGCATGACGATATCCAGATTCTGTACTAATGGACTGACTACTTGCAGTCATGTCCGTCGGCTCCTGCCTATGTATTTTAAAATTAGAATTGACACAAATCTCCTTCACAAATCAGCAGACATGGGGATGGAGCTAAACATGTCCATAAGACTGTTATCAATGCAGAACGCATTAAACTCTTGCAGCAACAAGTAATCTTATTCAAGAGTTGTATGTTTCTAGAAATTCAGGTCGTTCACAAGCAACAAAAGTTCAGCTAAAGACGTAATTGAGCTGCAGCATCACCACACTGTTGCATCCAATCACGCCCACACCAGCGAGCTGAACTTGTCCATAATCACACGTCCACATCTCACAAATCTAGAAAAACTATTGTGCATAATCCTCTCCATGAATTCATAGCCCAGCATTCCAAACATGTACGTACATCAGCTCTTCCTAAACATGTTAGTATGTGATTAGTTTCTTCTCCTGGACACAACATAACTAACAAGTCTGTACAGGTACCAGAAAATGGAGATCGCAGACGTGCCGCCACCTGATTGCCTACTTACCATACATTTAGCCCTCCTTGTAAATGATGATGTGTCACACACATCTTCACCCAGGATATGGTTCTCAACTCACCATCGGGGCCAAACTCAACAAAATCTTCTGATTGAAACATTTACGCTAGATGGACGTCTAATCCAAATCACATGCGTCATTCGACAGCAGCAAGGGGAAAACAAATAAGAATAACAACAATGCTGTGCAGCCCATAAACAACCCGTCGCTCACCGTCGCCATTGCTCGCGATCGCCCCGGGAGGACGACTGCCGCTGCCTTGGCTACAAGTCATGGTTGTATCACGCCGCTGTTGCTGGAGGCGCTAACCAAGCACCACATCGCTGCCCCCGCACCATCGCAAGAGGAGGACGGCCGCGGCTGCCATGGATGCACCACTCCGTCGAGCAGGCGCCGGCGAAGCTAGCCTGGAAATTGAGAGCACATTGTTAACTGATTTACAAGCAAACATCAGTTGAGTTTCAGATTGTAAACTGATTTACACAAAACAACAAGAGAGTTTCAGACTATAGACTACTTTGAGAGCAGATCATTGACATTATCATTTTTTGAGCATATCAATGATGTTGTAAATTAAGAGCAGGTCATTGACATTGTCAATTTGTGAGCATATCACTTAATGTTGTAAAATTGATAACAGAATTGAGTATGGCAAAAGGGGTTGAGATCACTCAGTGTGGTTGTTGTGAATGAATGCTATAATTGAATGAGCTGAATTTTAGAGACTTTGCTCACTAAACTGGACATGACTGTGAAATGCAAGTGGGAGAAGGGAACTGAATTGAGCAGCAACATAAGTGCACATTACAGAATGGTAAAATGAACACTACAAAATTTAACATCTCTCACAAGAGCAGAGCAGCTCATCCTTCGGCAGCCTGGTGATCGGTTCCTTCATTCATACTTCGGCTGCCTCGCGCCGTTTTTCCTGCGTCGCCTACGCGTTGGACTGGGCAGCATCACCCTTCTAGGCCGACAACGCTGTGTGTCCATGGGCTTTGCTTGCTGCCGTCGGATGGCGCATGAACAATTATATGAATTTGACATCCCTCTGCCATAGTCTCGGCTAAGGCAGAGAATCTGTGAACTCGTTCCCATCATCGGTACAAATACAATTACATTCTCAGTTTGATTGTCCATGAATTCCCTTATTGCTTTCTCTAAAGCGGTCGTCCTATTTGGACATGGTGTACTGCCCGGTGCCGCTGAGCCGGTCCATACTCAGCCCAAGTATGTCTTCACAGAAGTCAAGTATTTATACCATTCGACAGTGACATCACTAGATTGCAATAATTCAATGCCAGAATAGCAATACAGAAATATCCACCAAATTACTGCCCACAACTGAAACCCAGATATGAAGCTTTACTGAAGTGGTGTTTTCAGACAGTTCACAAGTGTAAGAAAAAGAATTACTTGTCTCAACACAAGTCACCCGTAGAGCTCCCAAATCTATATGCAGACTGCTACTAGACTAACTATGAACACCACATACTTCCATGTCAATGACGTATACCAGGCAAGTGGAAATCAATAGGGGATTTCAGTTATGCACTAACCTCTTACTCTTAGTCCATCCCCGGGCTTGCAGGTCCATCTTGCCGGTCAACTGCTCGGACACCTGGGTTGAGTTCTCCCTTCTTCATCCCAGATCTAAGCGTCTACACTTAAGACTGGCACCGGCGCTTGTTCCAGCTCCCCCACCAAAGCAGCCACCGTGTAAGGTCGCAGATCCATGGGCGCTTCATTGTCCTCCACCTCTTAAAGCACATGGAATCTGGTGCGGATGAGAGTACACAACAGATAGCATTCATCAGAAATCCTACTCCAAAATAGTTAAGCCAAACCAAAGATTACATCGCTTACCTGCCGATAGGCTGCATTAAGAAATCCATCAATGGCGTCGTCTCCTACCCCCAACTTCACCTCTACACTACTAGAAAAAGGGCTATAGATAGGATTGATACTAATAGCGCACCATGGAAGCAGTGCGTCATTACTATATACTAATGGCGCACCGGTTGGTGATGCGTCATTAATGTCAGAAACAGGATGCGCCACTAGTATTAAATTATTATTTTTCCATTTTTTCATACATAAATGACGCATCAGGTCGAAGTGTGTCATTACTAGTTCTAAGTAGTAATGGCACACCAAGCAGACAGTGCGTCATTACTGTAAAAAAAAAATCTTTTTTTTGCAAAACTACTAATGGCACATCGTTTCACAGTGCGCCATTACTAGTTTAAACTAGTAATGGCGCACTATTACCCGGTGCGCCATTAGTATATATATTTAAATTTTTTTCTTTTTTACAAAACTACTAATGGCGCATCACCTGCAGGTGCGTCATTAGTAAACAGGGTTACTAATGACGCATTTGCTGGTGATGCGCCATTAGTAGTTTTGTAAAAAAGAAAAAAATTTAAATATATAGTAAACAGGGTTACTAATGACGTATTTGCTGGTGATGCGCCATTAGTAACCTGGGACTCCAACAAGATATTTTGGATAGCCCCACACCTACCCACTCACTTTCCCCATTTCATTCCCTCCACCTTCTTCTCCAAGCTTTCGACCATCTTCTCCTCCTCACCTCATTTCCACCATAGATTCATCAAAATTAAGTGGTGAAATTACCTTTTTTTGATAGGTAAGTAAGGGAAAAGCTATTTTCATGATGTAGATCTACTTTTTTTCTCCCTAGCTCGCTCCAACAACGTGCACATGCACTTTTTGTGGCCTAGCTAGATCTATGTATGTTTGTGGTGTTGCATGTGTTTGTGGTGTTACATATATGTTTGTGTTTGAAGGTACCGGTATTTGAAATGCGATAGTTGCCAATATTTTGCAGGAATGTTTTGATTCATTTCCGTTTCGGCGAGAATTTTGGCACTATGCATTCTTTTTTGTCCTATTTTTAGGAAAGGTCATGCCAAATTTTTTCTTGGTTCTAAAATATCGTTTTGCTCTACCCCGCAGGCAACCATGGTCCGCACGATGACTGAAGGCATCGTGAATAGATTTTTGAGCTCCACGACGGCCGAGATGCTTCAAAAGAACGAGACGGAGATAAGATGTCCGTGTCGAAGATGCAAGCTGAAGAGCCTTATTGCGGATCCGAATTCCGGGCAGGTGCGGGACCACCTACTCTTGCATGGTTTCATGGATGGCTATCGGTGGCAAGGTGATGAAGATGACTATGAAGTCGTCCATGGGGGCCGGGCAAGAAATAAGGAAGGGCAACAAGACAAGTACCACTGCGGCGAGGGCGGGCGAGAAGACGAAGAATCTCCAGGACATGATCACGACGGTGATACTGTACACAGTCATCATGTAGAAGATGTCGTACATGATGAGGAAGATCAAGACGAAGGGCATGATCATGAAGATGAAGATGCCGGAGCAGACGACGATGGAGGCTGGGTGCAGGACCCTCATATTTAAGAGCTGCTTCTCAAGCAGACGGATAACGCAAGAGCTGCCGCCCGAGAGAAAGCCAAGCTAGATCAACTGGAGATAGACGCGGTTTCTCCATTGTATGAAGGATGCAGGCCCGAGGATACCCGCCTGAAAGTAATGCTCATGGCTCTAGAGATGAAGGTAAAACACAAAATGACCGACGCATGCTTCGACGAGAACATGTCATTCTGGCACGAACGTCTTCCCAAAGGAACAAGTGCCCGACCAGTTTCGAGGAGGCGAAGAAAATCGTGTGTCCTCTGGATTTACCGCACGTGAAATACCATGTGTGCATGAACAATTGTATCATTTATCGGGACGAGCACGCGGTGTCTACCATATGTCCGGTGTGCGGTGTCACTCGATACAAGAAGAGGAAGAAAGCTCCTCGAAAATCGGTGTGGTACTTTCCGATCACTCCTCGTCTGCAGCG